AATAATATATATATATATATATATATATATAAAGTTTAACGTGAGATACCCAGACACCTAGCTTGAGCTTATGTAATATCAGCAAAAAGAAGTAAAATTGAAAATAAAATAACACCAGAAAAATTAGTAGGGTATATATCACTGTAAGAATTATTTAGAGGGAAAAAGTCCTAAAAATAATAATACTTTGATAAACTTAGTTTTATTTTGCATTAAGGTTCTTCAAAAGAAAGTTTTGAAGTCGAAATAAATCAAAATATACAAGTATTATATTTCCTCGTAAATTTCCACTTTAGCTATTTGATTAATGAAAGAAATATATGTAATATTTAGTATATGATATATTTAAAAGGAAAACAATACTAAGGACATATTTGTGCGTGCAGTGTAAAAGGCAGAAAAGAAGCAGCATGTGTAATTAATTTTAAAAAACATTCTTGATGGATTCGATCACACGCAGTGTTAATATTTATAATAATAATAATAATAATAATAAATGTAGTGGAGAAGCGTAGCTCAAGAGAACTCACACTAAATATAATTTCTTTACCCTACTTGAGCCTTAGCATACACTAACATTGTCTTGGCCAAAACTATGTTAGTTAAACAATCTCCACCATTCATATCAAGCATGCCAGCTTTCCAAGAGGAACCATTCCATTATTCGTTGAATAATAAACAATAACACATTAGAAATGTCAAACACGGCCTGAATGTGTGTGTGTGTGTGTAGAGAGAGAAAAAGGGGGGAGGGAGGGGAAGAAAAACCCGTCCAGTGGTTGGATATAACATTGAATCTAATCTTCTAATTCCAAAAACGCTATCCTAAGTACAGGACCATTGCTGAATGATAAACAAATCCTTTATCAATCATGTATTCCTCCATTTTATATAAATATAATCTAGAAACTGTATTAAGAAGAAAAATGGTGACAGCTTTGATACCTATAAATGCATAAAGGGATTTTTAAAAAGAACAGAATTGTAAACCCAAAAAGGGATCTATTTTTTTTTAATGGCCAAATAGGGGTCACATGCAAAGATGTTAGTTTCATTTAAAGAAAAAATCATTCCATCACCATGGAACAGTCTCACTACATATATATGTAAATATATATGTATATAAATGGAAAATGCATTAAAACAAGTGAAAATTCATACCGCTTTGCCCTCCCTTTTCAATATAAGGGCGAAAACTCTATACTCTTCCATAAAAATAGACGGAAACTTGTCTATTAATACGATACCCAAACCTCTCTAGAGTAGAAAAACTGAGAATTAATTAATATTTATGCATATAGCTAGCATCAAGATGATGGAAATGCACACAACACGAATCCTTAAAAGCCTTATAGATAATCCAAACTAATGCGGAACCTATTATTAAGTAATGGCCAATATAATGAAAATGAAATACAAAGACTGCTATGTATGAAATCATTTAATCAAATAAATAGGTAACGATAATAACAATAAATAGTACAGTATATAGTCTGAGTCTGTGAGTTGCGTTAAGAATTTCCGTCAATCTAAAGGGGAGTATACAACATGCGACTACTTCATCTTCGCTTTCAAACTTTACACTTATTGTGTCTGATGCCACAATAAATACCTGATATCGCCCTTTAACGACTGTGTATAGAGCTTGGTGATGTGTAAAGGTTTAAAAAGGGAAATAAATCATAGTTTCGAAGCGGTGAGAAAGCAAAAGCTATGGCTGATTATTTTTACAATCCTATAAAAATGCAAATCGAAAATAAAATCAGACCAGTTCATTGTATTTTCTTAGTTCTATAATAATTAAATCTATTTGGATATGCCTTGTTAGCTTCATACTGTGTCTCCTTTTTGCTGCACATGTAGATGCATGCATATAGATATATATATATATGTATGCATTTCCTTTTTGACTCACCCATAAAAAAGTTTCTTATGACACAATATTTATCACTTAATACATATCTATCATTACTATTGCATATCCTTTTTGTTCTTTCTACCAAACCTGCTTGATTGTATAAGTCCAATTACACTCATGTTGTCTGTGAGTGGGTGAGTACGTAGGTGTTTGCACCTACATAGAGCGGTATTATACTTTACCCCAACCATTTTTTACAATCCGAAATTCTTAAGTTTCATCGCACCATTGCAAATCACGTTGCAGAATGCGGGTAATCCACTTTCAAAGGCCATCCTACCTTTTGCGTATAGTCCGGCGTCACCCTTTTTGCACCGAAAGCCCTTAGAGCTAGGGAACATGCAATATTAACCCCGCATGGATATATCGAGTGTGTATTTGCGCCTCAAAGCCCATACAGGCACAAGCCTAACCCACTAGTGATCTGCCGGGTGTCGTGACGAGAGGCGTCCAGGGAGGAGGAGCGTCTCCTTCGCCCGCAAGTCACGGAGGCCGTGGGACTGACTCATGCTGCGTCGCTTGCCCGTGCCCCGCGGGCTGTGCCGGCGCAGGGGGCCCCTCTCGCCTCGG